TGGAAATTGGGAATAATGTAGTTGAAATAAAGATATTGCTATGTTTATTTAGCCAATAAGAGGCAGTTTGGCATACTAGATAGAATTTTGCACTGGGAGTCAGAAAGACCAGAAACTTTTTAACTGTTTGATCCTGGACAAATCACTTAACTTGCCTCAGTTTCCTCACCATGAAAGTGAAGATAATGGCACTTACCTCACAGATTTGCTAGGAGGATCAGTTGAGATAATACAGGCTCTTCTAAAAGCCTTAGTGCAGTTTAATCCTACTTAAAGCTTTAGAAAGGAGCTTAAAACTGCACTAAGGTTTATGGGACACTGTGTTTGTGAAGAACTTCAAAAACCTTAAAATTCTATATAAATGTTTATTATTATTAATGAGACTTCCAATTGGAAGATGCAGTATCAGAGGTGAAGACCTTCTGATTAGTGGAGTTATTAATAATGGATCAAGGACAGAGGGATGAGAAAGCCTAAACATTGAGTGATTGGGGTGGGGGTAGGGTGGTTTCTAGGGCATTTTGGAGATAAAGAGTCAATCAAATTGAAATAAATATCCAAAAGTTTTCATGTCCAACAGAAACACTTTAGAGCAGAGACTATATTGCTGTTCTATTTGTTGACTAAAACATAGTCTCTGGGCATCTAAGTGGCGAAGTGAATAGAGGGCCAGGGCCTGAAATCAGGAAGATCCCAGTTCAAATTGGGCTTTTGACACTTATTAGCTGTGTGATCCTGGGCAAGTCATTTCACCCTGTTTGCCTCAGTTTCTTCATCTTTCAAATGAGCTGGAGAAGGAAATGGCAAAGCAGTCCAGTATCTCTGCAAAGAAAAGCCCATGGACAGCGCCATGGTTCTCTTGAAGAGTCTGATAGGATTGAACAACAATAACAACAGGGCCTGGAAAGAGCTAAGATGTGCAGAGGTCAGTAACAATGTAGGATATGTTCCTCTGGCCCAATTAAAATAGTGTGTTTATAACATAGGGTTATTTGATAGATGCTTTATAAGCACTTGTGAGGAAAGAGAAGCCCGGTAAGTGAATCTGTGGTCCATTTGTAAGACCTCATTGTATTTGTGCTTGTCTGTGGGAGGGAGGAAGGCCCTTTTGGAATGTGGGCTTCAGTCAACAAAAGTAAAGCTCTGGGCTAACTTTCCTTCTAGGTTCTATCATACTGCCCCAGGCCTCTGCAGTCCTTATCTCTCATTCCATTTTGGTGGAAAAAAAATGTTTCACTAGACTGTCATTCCTTTGAACTGGTCTAATCTCCCACCTCTGACCTTATTCCAATGAAAGTCAATTTTAAGTCTGAACTTTCAACTGCTACTGAGACTATGGGATTTTTAAAAAGGTGCTCCTGGGAATTCTAGATCTCACCTGACCTCTGCTGAAAAGTCTGTGTATTTTGGAAAATTTGTATAACATGCCTAAATATTTGATTCTATCATCAAAGGGCTTTAATGTTGTGAGCCAGGTGGTCACTTGAAAATGATTGCATTTTTCTATGAATTTGATGCAGCTAAAGGTGTTTTTCTTCAGTATCATGGAAAGAAATTCCTGAAGGTGGGAATCACGAATGACTGTGGTAAGCAGTACTTTTTTCTTTGGTGTTCAAATATGGTTATGCTAGATCTGATTACAGCCTTTATAGTTTGGGTAGCAATCAATGGGTGCTGTGAAAAAATAGTCTTTGCTTTGTTTTTGTCTTCTGTACTTTCCATATGAAAACAAAATTTAGAAAATGATTTCATGGCATGTGGCAAAGATGAAAGTACAAAGCAGTGAGGACTTGTGGTTCTAACACATAGATTCACACGCAAGTCTTATCTAGAACTTTATTCAAAGAAGAGGCAGCAAAAGCATCATTAATGCCTAGTGTGGTGATGCTGCTCTTACTTAAAGACAACATGAGCTCTTTTTCTTGGTTATAACAAAATTTCCTTCTCTCTCTCTCTCTTTTTTTGTTCTAGAGCACAAAAGTTTCCTTAAACTGAAAGTCCAAAGAATACCAGATTTTGTTTCCTTTTTTCCTGCTATAAACATGTCCTTTCTAGCCACCTACATGTGAAAATAAGGAATGAAAAGGTCATCTTAAAAATTTTACGAAAATTATATAACAAAGACCTTTTTTACCTTGAGGAAAGCTAGGAAGCTAACGGCTGAAGGCCTACTGTGCTCTTCCTAAATAATTTTTTATTTCTCATATTTTTCATTTCTCATAGTCATTTCTCAAATGACTTTGTTCCATCGCCTGAGACACTGTCTTCTCTCCAGTGCCATCATACTCACATGGCTTATAAAATGTTGAGAGTAGTGCTCTACTTGAATATAATTTTTAACCATTAAAAATGTCTACAGCAATGAAACTATCTTCTTTTACTGTTGGAGGAATCACCAAAAAGTGATTGTTCTGAATTATGAGAGAAGGTGGAATGTATTTTTTGTTACCAAAAACTTAAAAAAATGCATACATAATGAGGGAACAGAAATAAAATGCTAATTACTATATGCCAGTGAACTTCCAAGATCACTCCCCCAAACCCAAAAGTTAACCTTTGGTTAACTGGATAACCACATTCAAATTGGATGGTTAGTTTTTTGATGACTAGTAAAAGTTGGCTACTTGAAAACTTTCAGGGTTTTTTTTTTCTTTCTTATTTATGAATAGCCTGTATCATAAGTGGAATTATTAGTTGGTCAAAAGAAACAGAAATTGCAAAGATTTAAACCTGGTTTAAGTAAACTTTACTTCAAAGACATCTCATAGCCTTTGAGAAACACTATCTACTGTATTCCTCAGCTCTGTACTTTTGTCTCAGAACTAATTCTTCAAGTGCTTGATTTGCCCCTCCCTTTCTTCAAATGGATTTTAATTCAGTGATTTTTTTTTTTTTAACAAAAGCTCTCCAAAGTTTTTCCAAGCATTTTCTATGGAAACATACTCTTTTCAAAGGCCATTTCTTCTAGAATCTTTTTCTCAGTAAAATTTGTAAACATCTAACATCTTTTCAACTTTAAGGCTAGGACGTTTTTAGGCGATTCCACCCAAAGGATCGGTTCACATTTCTCAGGACTAACGTTCACTGCTGTTTTAAAGGATTTGACCTAACACCTGCCACCTTAGTATAAAATAAATAAACGCGTCTCCAGGGAGATGCCCCCCCCCCCCTTTTTTAAACAACCAGAAAACAGTGTCTGTTCTCTACCTGTTTAGGTCGGAGAACTTTGTATAGGTTGGTTTTAAAAGGCAAGTTTGCCAACGATTGTAATTTGTTGCAGTCCTGTGGGGAATTCACTGGAGAGAGTTTCGAACCAAATCCCCAAAGACCAAACCTGACTTGGGTGTGTTAGCTGGCTGGCTTCTGAGCAAGCCCTAATAAGTGAATTAGCATCTCAGTAAGGAGATCACTGCGGGACTGATATTGATCAGGTTCTGCCTGTGTGTTTGCCTGCGATTGTTTGGGGGGATAATTGAGTGTCAGTCTCGGTCTGTGTCGTCTCACTGGCGCCTGGTGCTTTTGGATTTGCTAATTTTCGTTAAGTGTCTCTAGCTGGCTACTCGTACCCAGTCTACTGGGGAGAAAGAACCAACTCGGCTCCTTCTGATCAACAGTCTGTCTGTCTGGGCTTTATTGATCATAGGGAGGGTGGTTCAAGGCGGGCGAGTGTGGCAGGGAGAAGAATGGGAGGCAGCTGATAACGACCTCCTTTCCCAACCTGGCAGCTATGTGCGTGCCCCTGGCTTTGAGCGGCTCGCTTCTTTTCCTAATATTTCCAAAAAGGCTCTTGGAGTAGCCTGACAGGACTGTCCCGGGATGTCTAGAACCGAAGGTTGAGGGACCAACAGCTGTTCTCTGGCTTGCGCCGTTCTGAGCCCAGGTTGAGAGACAGACGAGTGCGGAGATCGCGGGAAGTGGAGATGTGAAGGTTGAGGATTTGTGGAGGTCCAGAGGGGGGCAAACATGAGTAAGGAAATGAAAACTAGTTGGGATGCAGAGGTAGTGCAGGGCCGACAAAAGAGCATCGGAGGAGCGGTGTTTGCTGGAGAGTCGGGTCTGCCCCACCCTCGCTGTGCGGATTACTGGCATCACTACGTCTCTGGCCTCAGTTTCCTCACTTGTAAAACCAGGATGGTACTTGCCTTACCTACCTCATGAGACTGTTGTAAGGACAGCACTTTGTATAGAGTTGTGTAAATGGAAGCTATTAAAATATTTTAAAGGTGGGGGAAGCAAACATAGGGTAGGGACTATAAATTGGTAATTGACCTCGTGTGTGTGTGTGTGTGTGTGTGTGTGTGTGTGTGAGATGAGTGGGAGGTCGCACTGAGAAGACGGACTGCACGCTATAGCTTAGCAGATTCAGGCTCTCTAGGTCCAGGGATTTGGAAGCCAAATCCGCCCCCTCCCTCGAGCCCATCCTTCCCCCCCTCCCACCACCTCGAAATTGACTGACAAAGGCTGCTGGGCCAATCCCGGCCGCGTATTGCGGCGCTTAGAGCTCCCAGGGGGCGGGGCAGGGGGAGGGGCTCCGGCGGCCGAGCTCGGGGTTCCGCGGCGCTATTTACAGCACAGGAGGCGAGCAAGCCGAGGCAGAGGCTGTGACTGAGGCCGGCCAGAGAGTCGCTGTCCCGGAACTTTTGGGAGCTTCGCAAACGTTTTCTTCCTTCCGAAGAAAGCGATCTGGTTTGTGCGGGCGGCCGGGCAGGCTGAGCCCGCTTCCCCGGGCTGGAGCCGCAGAAGCACCCGGACGCGCGGGGCAGACTAGGGCAACCTGGGTTGGCCGAGGCGGCGGCAAAACTTTTCCTCCTGCCTGCCCTCTTTTCTCCAGCAGCCGGCGGGGACTGGCTCCTGCCGCGGACTGTGCCCTGACCCGCCGGCCTTTGGGAAGGACAGACAGAGAAGGCGAGCGGGGACTTGGAGGCGACCCGGGGGCGCCGGCCGCTTGGCTGCGCTCCAGTCCATCAGTCTGTCGGCTGCGCGCTGTGCGAGAGCCCATGAGCAGCCCTGCTGGGGCGTCCTAGAGTGCGGCGGAGCCCCCCGACATCGGGAGCCCCGGGCGGGGGCGCGACGCCAGGGTGGGGGGGTTAAATGGATCGCCATTCCAGTTACATCTTCATCTGGCTGCAAATCGAGCTGTGCGCCATGGCCATCCTACTCACCAAAGGTGAGTGAGCGGGCACGTCCCGGGGAGTGCGAGAAGGGGGCGGCTGCAGGGCGAGTGTGTGTCCGTGCGCGTGGACTCCACGCTGGACTGATGAACCAGAATGGCAATCCGGGAGATGAAAGCACCCTCGTCTCCCAGGTTTCTTGGAGAAGTGGGTTGTCCTATTCCCCAATTTGCTGCTCCCTCCCCCACCAGCTCCACACCCCGACTTTTCCACGTGGGGGGAGGACAGTGGGAGCGGAGTATCTGAGCGCGGAGTGGAGTGGAGCGGCGCATTTTGTCAGCAGGGCACAGCACGGGCTGGGGGTGGTGGGGAATCCGTCTCATGCACCCGGGCCAAGTGGGCTTTGAAGCCGACTGCCAAGCCTTTGTTAGCAGCGAGTGAGATTTCCTCCCGCAGCGCGTCGGGGCCCACAGGTCACAACAAGTTGGTGCGTTCTCAGAAGTGGCTGCGGTGCGCTCTCGGGCGGCTGGAGACGCGGGCACCCTCGGACTCTCCCTTCCCTCCCCTCTCCCCCGCCCTCTCCTGTTCCCTCCGCCTCCGCTGCCCTTCCCGTTCCCTGAGTCGTTGCCCCGGTTCATTGATGTAAAGTCAGACCTCCGGGGCAAGTGGTTGTCAAAATGTTTTTGTTAGTCTGTCTTTAATGAACTTCTGAACGTTACCAGTCGTGGAGCGGGGCCATCTTAACAGGCTCAGAGCACCGCCTCTTCTCCCCGAGGGCCGCGGGCGAGGAAAAGGATCAGCAGAGCCTTTTCTCCCCTCACTCCTAGCCCTAGCTTGTGTGTAAGTGTGAGTGTGTGAGTGCGTGAGTGCGAGTGCGTGTATTGCTTTCCATTGCTAGGACAGGCAAAGATGTTCACTCAATGGTACATCTCTTTATTCTTTAGCAGTCACTTCATACTTTACACAGATCTCCCTACGAAAAGCGGGGTAGATTGGGTATTTGGAAGTTTTCTTAACCGCAGTTTTTCCACCTTTCAGGTAGGAATGGAAGGAGACTTCCTTTACCCTTTGTTGGAGTCTCCTTCCCACCCCCACAACAGTATGTGAATAGATAATATATGTATTTTAAGTAAGGAGCAGTATTTAGCTTTTCCATCACCCGCCCCCCCCCCCCTTTCCTATAATTGCCATGTTCCCTGCATGAGGTTAAAGGATAAGCTAGCACAGTGATGATGATGTGCTACAGTATTTATTTATTTTGGAAGGAAGGGTGTAATTAACCCTAAATAACAGCCCTTGCAGCCTGCAGAGGGAAGCCTTCTGGCCCCATCAAAGGCAGGCAGAACAGGGAGTGACTGAGACTGATGTGAAGTCACAGATACTGAAACTATGTGCCTGATAATGATATAATTAGAGGATCACAGACTTCTGACTGCTGTTAACTTCAAAAGCTTTAAGGGAAGCCTGCAGTCTCCTGTAGCCATCTTTGACTAAAAGCAGACATTTTTGTTTAATAGCTACATACAGTAACAAGAATGGGGGGGGGAACAGAAGAGCATTGTTCAATGTTTCAAAATACCAATACCCTTTCTGGCCTTTTGCATACCACAGGAAGAAACTTTATGAAATGACAAAAAAATACAGTTTTAATACAGTAGTACAAAAGTCCATTCTCTTTGCAAAAAAAAAAATGTGGCTCTAATTAAAAAGAGTTGTTACAATCTTATGACTGGCCTGTCAAAATTTGTTTATTAGACCATTTTAGGTCAATAAAAATGTAACATTTTAAACAGGCCTTACAAACATTTAAAATGGCATCTTATGTTCAGTTTTCCCATTTTAGTAATTAAAGTGTTTTATTATGTGTAAAATTTTTTTTAAAAGTAAATTTACTTTTATTTCACTTCCTTAAATTGGAAGTTGGAAGTGAAGGCCCTTTAGTCTTTACAGGGACTTAAGAGCCTCATCATACCTTCAAGATCTATTGATATTACATGCAAAACACTGACAAATGTTCAGGGGAGGAAACTACAGAGAGGACCTGGGGAGAAACTTCCTGAACCTGGGGTAGGGGAGCGAAGAGAGGAGGGAAGGAAGGAAGCTCACTTTACTTTGGGTTATTAAGCCCAAGAGAATGAATTCAGACTTAGGAGTAAGATAGTCCATTTTTTGACCAGTGTTTAAACCCAGCTACCAGAGTGTGTTCTTGTTTTAGAGCCTAAAACAGTGGCAGAAGCAGCCTTTTGGGCCAAGGTGGGCTGAAAATGAGTCAGAAAATTCAGCTGATTCACCTTTCACAGGCCGTGTAGTGTTTGGAAAGGAGCTTAGAAAGAAGGGGGGGAGGGGCCCTCAAGGAGAGAGTGAGAATAGGTTTGGTGCTTATTTTCAGAGTATAGACTTCAAATGCAAGACTGATTTCCAGATTTTGAGAACCTGGCATGGAAAGGAGGTGCATCAATTCAAGTGAAAGTTGCCCCAGCTACTGCATAGAACAATGAGTGAAGTCTGATCTGATGGGACTGCAAGATTAGAGATAGCTCTGGATCCTGGAATATTTGAGCTTTAATTTTTATATAGGAAAGTGCCACATTGCTCTTAAGAGGTAACAGAGCTCACAAAGTGAGTTTTATGAAAGAAACTTTAAAAAATCACTTCCTTCAGAAAATTTTGAGGTTTCCTGAAAGATTTTTTTTCTTTTTTGTTAATACAACCAGTGGAGGATTTTCCAGTTTAAATGTTTCCCCTTTTAGGTCACATGTTGAATTTCATGTAAAACTGGAAGGGAGGGTGAGCTAATATGAAGGGGAGGGGAGGGAGGAGGAGGCTCTTGAACATTTTGCAGATTTGCCTCTTTTTATGACTTTCCATTTAGGTTGAAAGAAATTGACTTTGGCAAACAAACCACTAATTGTAAACTTCTCTGTGCCCATTTTACAGTATACTGGCTTAAAAACTCCTTTGCATGAAAAGATCTTTATAGGAAAAGTTGCCTTTTCTGGAGGCACTGCAGAGTGGCTGCCCAGTTTCGTAGTTTTTAAAACCTCTGACTGAAAAAAGTTTCTAGATTGTTACGGTTCTACTTAATAACTTTATAAGGTGTTAGGTAAAGCTCTTAAACCTTGGCACGGCTCTTGGAGGTAGTAAACAATTCAGCAGTTCCGATCAAATATTTATACTGACAAAATCAAAAAGCCCAGCATTTTTATGTTCTCTGGTCATGTGGGAATGAAGTGAATAAATAATGTAATTTACCTTTCCTGTAAAGGGGGAAAAATTAAGAAAAAAAGAGATTATTACTTTTTTTTTTTAAAAGCATTGTTTTAATTACCCTGTAGCTCTTCAGAAATTTGTGACTGTAAAACTCTGTTGACCCATAGCTTATGGTCAGAATGTTGCATTATAGAATTCTAATAGGAACTGGAATTTAGTCACCAATTAAACTTAGTGTTTTCTCAATAATATTCCATGATGATGATATATAGCTGAATGTTCTAAAGTGACTTCTCACCCATAACTTTTCTTTTAGTCTTTCTTAATATTCTATTCCCCTCCCTCCCTCCCAAAAATGAATAAAAGATACCACAGTGAAAAAAGACCTTGGATGAAATTTTGCTATAGTGAACTAGCTACAGAAATTTTTCCTGGTAGGCCTCCCACCCCCCCACTTCCCTCTTTCCATCCCCCCCCTTCTACCCCCCCCCGCCCCCCCCCCCCCCATTCTCCTCCACTGCCTCCATTTGGGCGACTGGTGCTTATGGGGCCAGGTAGCTGAGTTTGACATGATTTCTTTCCTTTTCAGGTGAAATCCGATGCTACTGTGATGCAGCCCACTGTGTCGCAACTGGCTATATGTGTAAATCAGAGCTGAATGCCTGCTTCTCCAGACTTCTTGACCCCCAGAACACGAATTCCCCACTTACTCATGGCTGCCTGGACTCTATTGCAAGCACAGCAGACATCTGCCAAGCCAAACAGGCACAAAACCACTCCGGCACCGCTGTGCCCACATTGGAATGTTGTCATGAAGATATGTGCAATTACAGAGGCCTGCAAGATGTTCTTTCTGCTCCCAAGGGTGAGACCTCAGGTAGGGAGAAGGCGGTTTTGTAAACTAAATCGCTTGCCTGATCTATAGGCCTGTGACAGCCAAGACTTTGTATGTCTGCTATTGATTTTGTTGTTAATGTAATTAGAGACACCAGAGGGAGAAGCGTGGCTGGATGCAAAAATGCCTCTCTCTTGAGTAGCTTTTATGTCTGCACAAGCATTAGATGTCTGTCTGCCTAATAGGCTTGGCCTGTTTTTTTCAACATTTCTAAGAGGTTAAAGAACATTAGTCCTTATTCATGTTTGGTGACTTAGAGACTGTAGTCCACAGCTTAATATTTTAAAAAAGGATTGGGATTGTCTTACCAACACTTTTGTGCCGAGTAGATCTTAGGGCTTTTTGTTGTAATCTTGTGTTTTTCATATGGGGTATGTCAGAATTGACTTGTCACTAAATTAAAATAAGAATATTGATGGTTTTCTTGTCCCGTTCCCGGCAGGCCAGGGAAGCAGATATCAGCATGACAGCAGCCGAAATCTCATCACCAAGGTCCAGGAGCTGACCTCTTCCAAGGAATTGTGGTTCAGAGCAGCTGTCATTGCCGTGCCCATAGCTGGTGGGCTGATCTTAGTGTTGCTTATTATGTTAGCCCTGAGGATGCTCCGCAGTGAAAACAAGAGACTTCAGGACCAGCGGCAGCAGATGATTTCCCGTTTGCACTATAGTTTTCATGGACACCATTCCAAAAAGGGACAGGTGGCGAAGTTAGACTTGGAGTGCATGGTGCCAGTCAGTGGGCATGAGAACTGCTGCATGAGCTGTGATAAAATGAGACAAACAGACCTCAGCAACGAGAAAATCCTCTCACTGGTTCATTGGGGAATGTACAGTGGGCATGGAAAGCTGGAATTTGTATGACCAAGTTTTACCTGAGTTAAACTTAATGGGGAAAAAAAAACAGAAACCAAAACTCTTGAAGGCCTTTGGGTTCTGCTGGACAGGAGCACTTTATCTGAAGAAAAACAAAACAAAATTCACTAATTGTCTTTGAGAGAGAAAATAACCTCTACAAACAGAATCTTGGAGAGTTCTTCTGAAGGATTATTTGCACAGATTTAAAATACACTCAAATGTATTATTTGCTTTAAAGCTGTAAAAGCAAAAAGTAGAAGTTGTACACTGTCACCAGGGTTATATGAACTATAGGGAGCTGGAAATGAGTACCAAAATAAACTGAAATATACAGTATACAAGCTCCTATATGTTTCTTGATTTATTGTAAAGATTTGAAAATATATATATTATATATATTTTGTCTGAAATTTAGTGGTGTCTTTCTTAAATTAAAAAAATAGTTGGAAGATGATCTAACTACAGAATTAGCTTGTATATTTGAGGCTCTGTTGCAAGCAATCAATGCTCAATAAATGTTTTGATCTGATCTGTTAACAGTGTTAAAAGTACCACATGTATTGTTTGAGGTCTGTTGGATAGTGCCCAAATGTGCAATATCCCTCCTTCTTTCTCTTACCTAGAATTGTCTGTGTGAGAAGAATCTTGTTTTTCAGCCTTCTCTATAACACTAGTTTTAATTATATCCCAGGCTAGGTATGTCAGTCAAATCTCTATGAAATGCTTCTAGTGTTGGTTTTAATCAGTTTCACCCTTTTCCTTATAGGTTATTCTTTTCTCCCCTAGAACCTAAATTTTCTTATTTAAGTTGATCACTTTTCACTTGTATTGGTGAGTGATTGATTCCTTATTCCATTTTGTTTCAAGTTTAAATGGATTCAATTTTCCATTATACCATAGCTCTTATTTTCCAAAACCTGTTTATTCCTTATACTCCCATCTCCCTTATTTCCCTCAGTTCCTAGAGAACTTGACAAAACTGAGCCCGGAGTGCCAGCTAAGACCTGAAAATGCATGGTGGTAGGAAGTCTACACTTCAGCTTATTTTACACTTAGCCCTTGATTAATGCCACCCAATGTAGCATTGATGTTAGCCAAGTGACTAATGTGGTTAAAATAAACAAGATCTTATTCACTGTTTTCTTCACTACTTTCTTTGGGCTGATATTGCCCAGCTTTAGTTCATACTTAATCTATGTGTGTCTACTGGCCACAGCATCTGTATGACTTGCTGAGGATCTATGAACTTGTATATGTGTGAGAATAGGCTTTCTCTTCTATGACTTGGGAAAAAACCATTTGCTTTTACTGTCCATTTCTGGGGCATATTATTTTTGTGAAAATTAAGAAAAAAAATTGAACCTATAATGATTGAATGTAATGGCCGGTTCTACCTACAGCTAGAGAGATCCCAAAGTTAAATTGAATGTTTGGATCAGTTTTGATTTATCGTGGTCCCTGAGGCCTGTCTATGATATAAAGGAAATGAGGCTCTGAAATAATAAGGAAGCCTTTTAAAATTAAATATTTAAAGTCACAGCGTTAGCTTTGTGCTTTTTTGAGGTTAAAATTAATTTTAGGGTCAAATTTTAGTGTCCTTTATCTATTGATATTTTGGTTTGTTCAACCTAGAAACAAGTTAAAAGCCTAGAGCCTCATGGACTTTTGCTCTATACAGTTCTGTTTAGTTTTTGCTACTATTGTGTAAGGTTATGGATAGTCCTCTAAGTAGGATTTCCGTGTATAGATATGCCAGTCTTACCAGTGCTGAAGTGACATTTCTCTATCCTCTACCACCCCATGGCAAAATCAGATGATTCTGATACACTGGTACCCAGGGCCAAGTTGTCAGGGGAAAAAAATTATTAGGAATTCTTCATAGATTCTTTAATCTAACCCCTACTTGAATGGGCAGAAAGCAGTATTGCAGCAGACCTGCAGTTGTGCTGGGAGTCAGGCCTAGTCAGTTAGTACCTCTGTCACTTTGGGGCAAATTATTTGTTCTCTCTGGGCTTCACATTTCCCTTACCTTAAAATAAGAGTTGGATTATTTGGCCTCTAAATCTGATCTAATCTAAATCCATTAGGCCTCTCCAACATCCTTGGTAGGGAGGGATCTTCCCCTCTCAAGACAGCATGTTCTGTGTTTGGATGGTGGTTGTTAATTAAGTTTTTCTTTATATCTAGCTGAAATCTGCATTAGCAGCTTCAACTCATGGCTCTCAGTTCTGCCCTCTGGGACCAAGTCACTTTCAGATGACAGATCTTCAGATACTTGGAGACCATTATTAGGCTTCCCAATTCCAGTTTATAAATTCTTAAGTCAGAAATTGACTTCAAGTTAAACCATGAAATTAAAGTTACATCAAAGTGAGCAAAATTAAATTTGAGCTGGTTAACTGCTACAGGAAGGAGTGGATTTTCAGAAAATGTAATAGCTTCTGCCGTTCCTTTGCCCTGTACTTCTAACTTCATATTCCTTCTGCCCCATCCTCTGAATTAATGTGTCTATGTTGACTTGAGCTTTTCATGGAGGTCTGGTCCTATGCCTCCTAGAAGTCAGCTGACTTCTGATCATGTTCCTCAAACCAGGCAGTAACAACTAGATTAGCTCCATCTTAATAATTATCCTTGTAACTCTCCACATTACCTAGAACTTCATTTCTACCTTTCAGATATGACCTTACTTATTTGATGCCAGACTTACTGCACTTTCCACAGCTAAATTGGAGTTTTGATATGAAAACATCCCCATGTTTCTTAAAATGTTAACCTTTGTTCATGCATTGAACAAAGTTTGAGTTACTTTGTGTAGAAATAGCCTGGCTACGGGCCTCGGTGTGAACTCCGGTTTCTTTTTTCTTCAGAGGGACCTCTGAGGCAGAGATTTTGAGGAATCAATGATTCAAGAAGAGTAAAACTGGAAGGGAGGGTGCTAACATGAAGGAGAGGGGAGACTAGAGTACAGTCTTTGGTGGTAGTGGTGGGTGTTTACTTTGTTTTCAATTGCTGCTCCATTTGGGTGGCAGTAGAGTCTGGACCCTTATACATGACAGACTGGAGAATTGAGTCCTCTTTATTTTGAGCTGGGAATTTTCCCCAATGCCGGAGTGATTATTTCAGAATGCCTACGATAGTCCTTAGGCATCACTCTCTCCTCTCCCTATGTTCCTGGCCATCTTGTTCTGCACGATAGTCCTAACTTTTTTTGTTCTTTTGCTCTCTCTTTTTGAATTGGCCTCAGACTTCCTGGGGATTGGTTTATGTGTCTCCTAACTTCTGCTGAACTGATTCTATTAAAAACACTGTACCACAGGGAGTTTGACCTTCTAAAATACCAAACACGTATGCTTTAGAAAATCACAAAGCTCCCCTCTCTAAAGAGCCTGTAAATCTGGTTTCAATATTGGGTGATTACGGGCTAAAAGCTTGAAAGTAACCAGTGCCATCCAGGATCAGGGAGCTGGAAGTAGCCTTTTCAGAGCTAGGATAATTTTCTTACGTCCAACTGATCCTTTACTTTCTACCTCTTGACTTCCTCCCTTTGCTCCAAATAACCTAAGATCTTTTAGAAGCTTTATGCTTTAAGGATTACATAATTAATAAGAGACGTGCTATCAGTGACAGATTGACCTGCCATGACAGTTTAAATATATAGTAACTTGGACTTATCTCCATCTTTCTGGGTGATTGTTTTCTTTACTTAGGATGATTGAAGATTACAAATGGAAACCTGAAAACTAGACATTGGGTGTTTTCATCTTTTTTTTTGGTTTGCTGTCTTTGGAGAAGAATCATCTTTTCTAATTTTCAGGTTGGTTTGCAGTGGTTTCCCTTTGAAATAACCTAAAGGGTTGATGATAGAAATATTTCAATTTTAGGTAACTGTTGATGTTTTTCTGGCAGAAAACATCCAATGGAATGGTAATTTCTTTGGCAATTCTGCTACTTGCAGCTGGTATACCCTCTCAGGAAACTGGAGCAGAGGGTCTGTTTTGGTAACAGGCATTTATGTAAATTTGCAAAGCACCGTACCCTGGATCCCATTGGAATCTCACAGCACCTCTATGGAAGATGTATTATAATCCTCATTTTACAGATGGGGAAACTGAGGCTCATAGAGGAAGTGACTTGGCCATTGTCACACGGATCTGATCCTGGGCCTCTCTGACTTCAAGTCCACAACTCTATCCATTGCATTATGCTTATTCCATCCAGTCTGGTAAACTGTGTGATCCCATTTCCGGATCTCTGAGGCTATTAAGTTTCAAGAAAGTTGAGTGTATGATTTAGTGTAGGAAGGGCCTTTAGAGAAGGGCCTTTAATCCTAACCTGTTATTTTACAAATGAGGAAAATGAACCCCAGAGAAGTGAAAAGCTTTGCTTAAAGTCACAAGGGAATAACAATAAAATAATAGCTCACAGTTATATACTGCTTTTAAGGTATACAAAGGAATTTGCATACATTATCCTATTTAATAGTAAGAAGCAGAGCCTAGATTCCAGCCTGGGTGTTGGGATGGCAAATCCAGGACTCTGCATGGCTTCGTGGTGTCTTTACAAGTTTTCTCCATGTTGTTCCTAACAAATAGAAAGCACTTCTGCGACTTGTTTTTAGAAGTTAATTTTTCTGTTTAATACAGGTATGCCTTTGCATGCATATGTGACTAGAAATGAAAATCTATTTGGGTAACTATTCTCTAGTCAGTTTCCAAGTGTGTATTCTTCATCCTTAGCTCAACTTGCCAACATCTCTCTTCTCTCTGCTGCTCTAAAACATGTCTTGTAATTTGAGGTCCTATGAAATGAAGCTTCAGATGGTGTCCTCTGATCACGGCACAGCTTTGCCACCTGACTTTAACTTCCAAGCATGCCCAATTTGATTCTGCTGAAAGCAGAAAAGGTTGTAATGTGTAGGTTTTCACCATAGCAATGTAGGCCAGGAGAGGGGTGAGGGATAAAGGGACTGGTAGGAAGAGCACAGTTTAACAAGCAGTCTGATTAATGCTTGGAGCTAGGTAGCAGTTTCCTAGTGGGTCTCTCCCCTTTGTGGGGGTTGTAAACCCTTTCAGTGGG